TAAAAATTAGAGCAGAAACAAAATAGAGACTAGAAAGACAACAGAAATGATCAATGAAACTACGAATTGGTTTCTTGAAAAGATGAACAAAACTGACACACCTTCTGCTAGACTAAGAAAAAAAGATGACTCAAAAGAATGAAATTATAAATGGAGGAAGCATTACATCTGATGCCACAGAAATACAAAGGATTGTAAAGGACTTTGAATAATTATATGCCAGCAATTGACATAACTTCAAAGAACGGGTGTAAATTCCTGGAAACATACAACTTACTAAGACTTATGAAAATATAAAAAATCTGAACAGACCAGTATTGAGCAAGGAGATTGAATCAGTAATCAAAATCTCCCAAAAAATAAAAGCCCAGGACAAATGGTTTCACAGGTAAATTCTACCAAACATTTAAAGAAGAACTAATACCAATCGGTCTCGAACTCTTCAGAGAACTCAAGAGGAAGGAACACTTCCAGACTCATTTTATGAGGCCAACATTACCTTTATCCTGAATCCACATAAGGACACTCCAAGAAAAGAAAATTATAGGCCAATATCTCTGATGAACATAGATGCAAAACCCTCAACAAAATACTAGCAAACAGAATTCAGGAACATCTTAAAAGAATTGTATACCATGATCAAGTGGATTTATTGCTGGGATGCAAGGATGATTCCACTGTTGCAAAGTAATCAATGTGATAGACCACATTAACATAATGAATAAAAATCTTATGGTCATCTCAATAGATGCAGAAAAAATATTTGACGTAATTCAACATCCTATCAGATAAAAACTGTCAATGAATTAGGTGTAGAAGGAATATTCTTCAACATAGTTAAAGTTATATGTGCAATCCCACAGCTAACATCATACTCAACAGTAAAAAGTTAAAAGCCTTTCCTCTAAGATCAGGGATAAGATAAGAATGCCCTCTCTTACCACTTCTGTTCAACATAATACTGGAGAAGTCCTCACCACAGCAATTTGGCAAGAAAAGGGAGAAAATAAAAAGTATCCAATCAGAAAGGAAGAAGTAAAATTATCTGCTTGCAAATGACATGGTTTATATATAGAAAACCCTGAATACTCAACCAAAAAACTGTTGGAACTAATCAATGTATTCTCTAAAGTTGCAGGACGCAAAATCAGCATTCCAATACACTAACAACAGACTATCTGAAGAGAAATTTAGAAAGTAGTCCCATTTACAATAACATCAAGAATAAAAAAAATAGCAAAAAATTTAGCCAAAGAGGTGAAAGACCTGTATACTGAAAATCATAAGACATTGAAAGAAGTTGAAGAAGCAAACAAATGGAAAGGTATCCTGTGTTCTTAGATTGGGAGAGTTGATGTTAAATTGTCCATACTGCTCAAAGCAATCTACAGAGTCAATGTAATTCCTTTAAAAATTCCAATGGGATTTTTCAAGGAAGTAGAAAAAACTATTCTAAAATTCATAGGGAAGCACAAAAGATCCTTAATAGCCAGAGCAATCTTGAGAAAGAAGAACAGAGCTGGAAGCATCACGCTTCCTGATTTCAAATTATGTTGAAAGTTACAGCAAGCAAAACAGTATGGTACTGGCATAAAAATAGCCACACAGACCAAGAAAACAAAATTTAAAGCTATAAATACACCTATGCATATGTAATCAACTAATCTTATACCAAGGTGCCAAGAACATAAAGTGAGAAAAGGATTTCTTCAATAAATGGTGTTAGGAATACTGGATATCCATATGCAAAAGAATGAAACTGGGCTCCTACCTTATACCACCCACAAAAATGTGCTTGGTTTAAAGACTTAAATGTAAAACCTGAAACTGTGAAACTCCTAGAAGAAAACAGGGAAAAATCTCCTTGAGATTGGCCTTGGCAATGATTTTTGGATGTGATCCCAAAAGCACAGGTACCAAAAGCTAAAATAAACAAGTAGAAGTGTATCAAACTAAAAGTTTCTGCACAGCAAACAATTAATAAACTAAAAAGGTAAGCAATGGAATGGGAAACAATATTTGCAAACCATATGTCTGAGAATGGACTAATATCCAGAATATATGAAGAACTCCTCCAACTCCATAGCAAAAATTGAATAGTGAGATAGACAAAGGTCCTGACTAGACATTTTTTCCAAAGAAGATCTACAAATAACAAATAGGTCCATGAAAAGGTGCTCAACATCACTAATCAAAGATGCAAATCAATACCGCAATGAGCTAGCACCTCACAACTTGTTAGGATGGCTAGTATCAAAAAGATAAGAGATAACAAATGTGGGCAGTGATGTGGGGGAAAGGATACCCTTGTCTTCTGTTAGTGAGAATGTAAATCGGTACAGCCATTATGGAAAACTGTATGCAGCCCCTCCTCAGGTAAAAAATGGAACTACCATATGATCCAGTAGTCCCACTTCTAGGTATATAGAGGAATGAAGTCAGTATTGCTACACTCAGTTAACAGATAGCTACACTCCCATGTTCATTATGGCATTATTCCCGGTACCCAAGATATGGAAACAACCTAAGTGTGGGCAGTTTAAGAAGGTGTGATACACACACACACACACACACACACACACACACACACACAGAGGAATATTATTCAGCCTTTAAAAAGAAGGAAATTCTGTTATTTCCAACAATGTGAATGAATCTGGCAGGTACTGTGCTAAGTGAAAGCCAGACAGGAGATAAATACTGTATAGTATTTATCAAACAAAAAGTGATTTCATAGAAACAGAACAAAATAGTGATTGCCAGGGCTGGAGGGAGGGGAATACGGGGAGATGTAAGTCAAAGGGTACGAAGATTTTGAGGATCCAATATACAGCATGGTGACTATAATTAATAATGCAGGATTACATACTTGAAATTTTTCAAGAGTAGATCCTCACTGCAAAAGAAGGAGGGAAGGAAGGAAGGAAGGAAAGAAGTTAAGTATGTGAGGTGGTGGGTGTGTAATTACCTTGATTGTGGGAATCATTTCACTGTGTATGTGTATATCAAATCATCATGATGGATGCTACATTTTATATACATTTATATTTGTCAGTTGTTCCTCAATAAATCTGGATTAAAAAACGAATTCAGCTATCATTTGGAGGAGGTTAAATTCTTAGTTTTGGGCTTCATGACAGTATTTTTTTTTTTCCTGTTTGCTTTAACTCTCAAAATGTCTCATTCCTGAGACATTTTGAGGGGATGAACAAGGTGAGCTGTACTATGTACATTACCTATCATAACTGCCATCTGAGTAAGGTTACGGGCCAGCAAATGTCAGGTAGCTTAAAAATTTCTGGTTCACCATAGGATTCCCTTGCCTGAATGAAGTACTACGAAACTAATAATATTTCTTTTTAAAAATTAAAAAATATAAATACACAGATTTTAGTATAATCATTCATTGGCACCTACTTGGTAACAGGGAATAATGAAGTGTCTATCCGTTCAGCAATGTGGATGAATCTCAGAAGCATCGCGTTAAAAGTGAAGGAAGGCACACAAATACATGTGTGATTTCATTAAATGAAATTCTCAAAAAAGCAAAACTGTAGTGACTGATCAGTGGTTCTTAGACTTGGAGAGAAGTGAGGATTGACTTTGAAGAGCATGTGAGAACATTCTGGGGTGATGGAAATGTGCTACATCATGATTGTGGTTGTACTTACACACTGTGTACGTTTGTCAAAAGTCCTATATTGTACATTTAAAATTGGTGAATTTTATTATATATAAATTCCACCTCCATAAAACTGTGGCAGCAAGAAAGTATAAGCAAGCATAAGTCTACCACGGAAGAGAATAGGGAATATTTATGGGATGAGAAAGCTCAGCAGATTTTTGGGATGCAGGTAAGTGGACGAAAAAGCAGAGAACATTATAGTTCAAATGGGAGCTGAGCTCATGTCCTAATACAAATTCCAGAGAAGATTCAATTTAAGCTCTTGGGAAAGGAATGAGAAAGGTGGTTTGCTTGACATACCAGTTCACCCCGCCATGCAGAGCAGTAGGAGGGCCCCAAAAAAAAAAAAAAAAAAAAAAATTGCCCCACCCCCACCTCCTGCAAAGAATTCGGACAGACTGCTTGAGAAAAGTGTGGCTGCCAATGCATGCAGGAGGTCCCCCGGCCCCCTGAGTAAGCCCCTCTAAATCCTGATACATGGGGCTTCCAGCCTAAGGCTTGGTTTCCCTACCATATACCTGAAAATCAAACCTCTCAAATAGATCCCCCTCACGTAGATGAAGGACCCAAAAAGTCTTCCAGTCGGCAATGAAGTCTCTATGAAGTCAAGGGTCTGACTCAATGTGAGACAAAACCAGTTGGAAACAGCACATCTTTTTAAAAATAAGAATGAAGAAACAGGGACTAACAAGAAAAAAATTCAATAAAATAAAGAAGAAAAAGACTAAAATGCATGATCAGGATGGACCCAAATGGAAATATAAGAACTGACAAAACAAATTACAGTATTTACAATGATTTGAGAAAACACTGCATTCACCAAAAACAAACAAACAAACAAAAAAAAACCAAACCTGCTGGTGGAAAATACTGATCCATATTGTATTTGGTTTATTTCTGTTGTAGTATTTTGTATGTTATGCTTTGTGTTATAGCTATTTCTGGTCATATTGGTCTTCTCTCACAAGACTATGCTCCTGAAACACAGGAACATGGTTGTGATCTGTGATGACTGAGTATCTTTAAAATTGGTAGACAGCCACTTCTCTCTTACTTAACATGGCCCTTGAAACTGCCTTGGGCTCAAATTCCTGGTCTGGTGACTTCTGTGTTCTGTTTATAGATTGTGTTTATGAAATACTTGGATTTGCTCCATTCCAGGGTAGTAGACCTGGAGCCATTCCTGGTGGGTTTTTGTTTATTCTAGCTGCTATGAAAATTCAGTAGTTCTAATGATTTTTTTCTGGGGCCCTTTGTATGCAAGTATATTATCACAGTTTTAAAAAGTGTATATCTTGTCTTTTGATGAATCCAGGGACATCATATGAAGGCTCAGGCTCTTTCTGGATTGGGAAGAAGTAAGGAAGCATTAAAGGAGTTTCTCTACTGCCTTGCTTTAAATCCTGAATGTAACTCAGTGAAGAAAGAAGCACAGAAGGTGTGATTTTTCTTTAAACAAATTTCTTTCTTAAGTCTCATTTATAGCTTTGATGTCCATGCTGAGTAACTCCTGCATGTCAGATAAACAAAAAATATAGTTCTGAATATTCATGACAATGTGATTAAAAACACACGGGATTAATGATGAGTTTCACACGTTTGATAATGTTCATCCAGGGATAAACCACTACGTATCATGAGATAGCACTTGTACAGCTCCCTGTTCCACTGAAGTAATGACATGAGCTAAGGAGGCAGGGTTGATGTGTGAGGCTAGGGGAAGCAGAGTGAGTTTTCTTAGAGTTGTAATTTCAAGCGTTACAGTTTGTATAGGAGCCCTATAAAAGACATTGTGATAATATACCAAATATACCAGTTCAGCTGGAAAGCTTGACTTGAGATTCTCAGCCAAGCTTCACCAGCATGATGCAGAAATATCTTTTCTCTTATTCAGGTCTTTAACCCAGTCATATTATAGGTCACTGAGTCACATTTACTGTGGGAATCCACCCTATGTTTAAGAGCCCTTACAATAGTTACAAGGTTATAAGGTTTCCTCCTCTGGATGCATTCTCGTGTCCCCCAGCATCCACATCTGACAGCGACAGATGGGGGAAATTTTACCTTCCCTTGTGTTCATACCATGAGGTATGTTTTTTTTTGTTTGTGTTTGTTTTTTTTTTTAGGCTAATACCATCACACTGTTGGCTCCTATAAGAACTGTAGTTAGCCCAAACACCTAGATCTTTTTTTGTTTTCTGTGAGAACCTTCTAGCAATACTTTTTATCCTTGTATTGTGCAGTGCATTGGTCTTTCTTAATGCTGTCAAATGATCACTTATGGGTTTTGGCCATTGTTTCAACTTGTCAAAATAATACTAAATCTTAACATTGGCTCTTCCATCCCTGACTGCTTTGTCCCACCTGCAAATTTCACAGGAACCTTAAAACATATCTCAACTGCTCCTCATAACAGCTTAAGAAATTCAGCCTGAGCTCAAAATTAAGCAGATTTACAAAGGTCTCAGTGCCACAGTCCAGGTCTGGTGATGCTTGGGGTGCTTCTTGTCTTTATGGGTGATATTTTCTCCCTGTAGCATTCTGTGAGTGGTAGGTTTCTTCTATCTCAGTGCCCAAAGACTGCCAGCCTGTTGATGCCCATGAAATGCAGTCATCTCCTGGACAGACTTCTGCTGCTTTACTGGAGCCCCTCAGAGCCAGTGCTGGGGACACTGATGTCCCTGCTGAGTGTTGTTCCTTCTTTATACAGGGGTCATGGGTGCGGATGCACGGACCTGTCACAGGAAGAGCAGTGGCAGGTTCTTTATTACGTTTCTGTTTCTCCTTTGTACCTCTCTTAGTCTTTGGATTCAGCTGAGTCCATGAGGTTTGGCAGGACCATCAAGTGGACTGGCAGTTACTTCCCACCACCACCAAAGGCTAGTTCATGGTTCTTGAACTAGAATTATGGCTCTTCACTTGGTCTCCCTTTAAAGTTTTTTACTGGGTGTCTCTTGTGGTTCTCTTGTATGTTGAGCGGTGTTCTAGAAATATCTCAGTCCTGTGTGTGATCACAACTCGAATTTAATTTAGGATCCTTGCAACCTTTGCACCTCTAATTTTCTCTCTTAATCATGAGACTTTTAGGGGTGATTTTCTGTAGCAGGTATGTAAGGACCCAGAAGAAAGAAATGATAATGTTCATATTTTATAATCGGTAAGGCTAAGCTGGGAAGGCACTGGTAGATAACATGCCTAATCAATGCTTTATGGTTTCAGAAACTTGAGTTTTGAAATAGTGGCAGTTGGAATATGGTAGTTATTCTTTTCAGTGTGTTAAGTCTCCTTGTCCTTATAGTTTGCTTGGGATCTCTAAGCCATATTATGTATTTTTCAAGAGTTTTAAAATACTTTTTTTTCTTCTTGGAAATTTTATAGGTAATGTGTGAGGTATTTTTTCCAGCTTCAGAAAACGCGCATCAGAATTTGACATCTTCCATCCAAAGCAGAATATTGAACAGCAGGCAAAAGGCTCAGTGTGCCAGCCACGTAAACGCCCAGCCTCTGGAAGAAGGCAGCAGTGCTGGGGGTTCTAAGGTAACGAAGCGCATGTGTTTGTTAGTATTATCTTGATTAACCTTTACGTAATTCGTAATTTTGAACACTTATAAGTTATTCAGATTGTGGCCTTATGTTAGTTGGAAGTACTTCTCAAGACCAGTTTCTAGCTCCTCAGCCTGAAAGTTGAATCTTTTGAAGGAAGTTGGTGGAAGTCATGAAAACGATTGAAAGAAACATGTAGTAGCATTCAGGACATCACACGTTGAGAACCTCAGGCATCAGGAGACTCTCGTTTATTTTAGTTTGGAGAAAAGAAAGCAAAAGGGTGATTTGAATATACAAAGATTGATGTTCAGTTGATCTCTCTCAAAAAGAATTTTTTTTTTTTTTTACTGTGGGAAGTGTAAAGCTCATCTTCAAAGTTAACAGATGAAACCTATCATGAAGGAAGAGCATAGGCCCTCTTTTTTCCAGAGATTTCTAAGAAAGGCCACTACGGGATTATTGTTTTCTGTTATGCTATGATTTCTTAATACTCAGGATTCTTTTTTCCTATTTAAACAGAATGCATCTGAGAAATCTGATGTGTTTAGAAATACCTATTCTTCAGTTTTGTATTTTATACTGGGTCTGCACTTTGAAGAGGATAAAAAAGTATTAGAGAGCATCCTTCCAGTAGCACCCAGCACCGGTTTAAAGAGACAATTTCCAGATGATTTGGAGGACATGCATGAGCTGAATGGCCCTGGGAAAGTACCCAAGAAAGGTCAGCAAGTGATTTTGTCATGGAGTTGTATGGCTCCAGAGTGATAGACTGTTAGTTAATATTCAGTATATTAAAAAAAATTATACAGATAGTTTAAAATGAATAATGAAAGGAATAGATCAGCTTTATGATGATAGAACAGTTTAAAATGACTAAGCCTACGCAGACTTCATAGTCAGAAATAGGGAAAATTTAGTTATAACTTTAACTTTTATTCATGTTTACGGTCCATATTGTTGTGTATGGTTAATCTGATAGGAAATATCCTACCCAGCATGATTTGTTATATTGGTGTGACACATTTTAGCCAGAGGAAATACAGTTGCTGCATGTTCTTGTCCAGGTGAGCAATGTTAATAATAGCATTTTAAACTTTTTCAGAGGCAGATTCCTCACCTCAAATGAACATGACCTCTAACGTAGGAGAAAGTCCAGAGCTCTCCATAGATGTAACTGACTTTGAGTGTGCCCTTTGCATGAGGTAGGATGACAGAGAACCTGTGCAACTCTTTGAAAACTCATCCTTTCTGAATTGGATATCCTAACCATAATGGGCTTTTTATTATCAGAGAAATTATGTATATCTTAGTAATGAGTGATTTATTTTCTAGAAATATGATAAGGAAAATCTCAATGGAAAATGGATATCAGTAATTTCTGTAGTCATGAGGGAATTGTCTTAAGGAATTCTTTGAAAATGAATAGATTATTTGTAGATCTCTTTTGGACAGTTTCAGCTAAAAACTCAGATATATTTTCCAGGTTGCTCTTTGAGCCTGTTACTACACCATGTGGACATATGTTTTGCCTGAAATGCCTTGAGCGCTGCCTTGACCACGCCCCACACTGTCCACTGTGTAAAGAAAAACTCTCAGAAGTAAGTATTTCTTCTGAAACAACAGGACCATTTGGCCCTCTTCTCATCCCTCAGTAGATGCTCATTTCTGGGGTTGGCTTTGCTTATACGACCCATTTACTAAAGAAAGTTGGATTTCTCCAGTCAAAGAGAGGTCTTTTCTTCTCTGATTTTTCAAAAAGTAGAAAAAGGAAGTTTAGACACAGAAGCAGTTAAACTTGAGGGAAATTTTTAGGCATGAATTATAGTTGAGGTACATTGAAAACGGGTAACGTAATTGGAGCTCCTACAATGTTATAAATAGTTGAGATAACATTATTGAGTCCTCACCAGGTGTTAATCATAAAGGGATGAGATAACATTATGGCACACTTAATATGTGCTAAGGATTCTGTCCTTTATCTCATCTCAAGGGGAAGTCATATTGTAGTACTCAGTTTTGCATAGGATCAAAGACTTGATCAGTTTTGACTACTAGGAGATTGTTTTGGTGTGTTATCAGTTGTGTCTTTTGTCTGTAATCAAAGCCGGTAACACTCGAGATTCCATGGAGGGAAGCTATTTAGTTATGTCTAACTCAAAAATAAACTGCTAAATCCATACCTTAGGAATGGTAAATACAAAAAATAACACTTAAAAGCTTTTAAAGGCTTTCTGATCAACTTTTCAAATTGTGATATGTATCAACTCTCTTGGGCTCTGGTGCCACTAACCTGCCATGAAGCAAGTTATTTAACTTCTTGGGGGGGGTTAATCTATAAAATAATACTAATAATATTTTCCTTAATTACTTCTAGAGATTATACTCAGTATATTTTAAGTAGGACAAAGTGGTGTTTTAAAGATTTATTTGTCTATTTTTAGAGACAGAAAAAGAGTGTGTGTGCTTGTGTGGGTGTAAGCTGGGGGAGGAGAGTGGAGGGAGAGAGAGTCTCAAGCAGACTCCCCGCTGAGCATGGAATCTGATGCGGGGCTTAATCTCAAGACCCTGAGATCATGACCTGAGCTGAAATCAGAGTCAGATGCCTCACCAACAGAGCCACCCAGGCGCCCAGGGATTAAGTGTTTTTTTAAAACAAATGTCCAGTAAAATTAATTTTAAATTTGATATGGTAGGGCGTCTGGGTGGCTCAGTGGGTTAAAGCCTCTGCCTTCAGCTCAGGTCGTGATTCCAGGGTCCTGGGATTGAGCCCCGCATCGGGCTCTCTGCTCAGCGGGGAGCCTGTTTCCTCCTCTCTCTCTGCCTGCCTCTCTGCCAACTTGTAATCTCTGTCTGTCAAATAAATAAATAAAATCTTTAAATTAAAAAATTTGATATGGTAAAGGAGATGTTATACGTATGTGAATTTTTAAATAATTATAACTTAGTTTACTGCCAAAATTTGTTAAAATAAGTTTTTATAATTGAGATCTTTGTAAATCATTCTATGTACATACTTGCTCTTTTAAATTGCATACCTCCTGAAGCTCTAGGTTATTCACGGCTCTCATCATGGGAATGAATCATTGTACTATGCACCATGTCAGGATGGTGGGTGCTTTTGAGTCTGTGTGACAGTTTCCTTTGGTGGTTCCTCTGCAGATCCGCTGCACTGTGTTTGCTCTCTCTTCTTGTTAACAGTAGAATAGCATTTGGCCTCTTGCCTTGTTGCACCCATGCTTGTCTGGGCCGGTGGGCCTGGAGGTGGTTTATTCTCAGACAGTAAAATGCATGTCTTTATGACCACTGTTTGTAACACAGACCTTTGGTTCACTTCCGTGTTCAGTACTTTCTGATACAGGACTATGTGATGAAGCAGTGTGTTGAGGTTGACACTGTCATGTAAATTCCTTAGGGACAGAGACAACCTCCTGTCTTGTTTTCACTCTAATTCCAGGGGCCAGAACACATAGCAGTTCAGGAAATCCATGCTGAATGAAAGATTAAATGAACGAATGAATGAGTGAATGATTGAGGGCAAGCTCTGCATAGATTGCCATTGTGTAGAAATTAGAATATAACAAAACTAAGTAAAATGAAAAATCACAACTCACTCTTTCTTCGATGCAGAAACTGCTTCATGAGCTTAGACTTTCTCACATACATTATCATAAACATGAACCATCAGTTATCTAGGTATGCATAGAAGCCATGGGTAACATAATGCCAAGTAAAGCAAATTGTATTACTCTTCAAGAAAATGGTGCCATAAACTAACCATATAAAATACAGATGTCATTAATAATATTTACTGTGAATTAAGTTAAACTTGTTTCTGCTGGTTATTCTGTTACTGAGTGTCTCAAACACAGTTGTGTCCCCGAGGTTGAACTCCTAGTTCTTAGTGCCAGCAATACCCATAGCTTGTTTCACACAAGCTTAAGGGAGACCAGGCAGGATGTCTAGGACTTGCCCATATATAACTGTTAGAAATATGTAGAGCAGCCCAAGCAGAGGAATGCAGCAAGTTAACAAAGCAACAGCAGCACATTGAAAACTACCAGCCTTGAGGTCCTGGTGCCACTGTGGCTTGAAGCTAGTCCCTAACCTTTCTGAGACCCCCTTCTCTACTGGTACACTGTAAACATTACTTCTGAGATAGGGCTCTTTTAAGGTCTAACTTAATTTATATGAAGCATCTGCATTTGGTACCTGATATATATTAGGATGTTAGTGAAAAAAGCTCTTATTTGCAAATTCGTAGGCCTAAGATAAAAGTAGTGCACACACATGCACACACAGAATAATAATAGATCCTCAGCTACATAGGACCCCTCCAGCCACTGATCCTGGCACATTTTAATTCAGGTTCCACCTATTTCCCTTCACATCCAGCTTGAATTCCTTGGTCCCTCTGTCCCTTTCCCAATCCAAATAGAGCCAACTCTGCCTCTTGCACATGTCCAGATTAAGTAACAAAGCAAAGCTAGAGCAGAAGCCACAAAACTGGGAAGATTGGTTTCAGTTTAAATTCACAGTCTTAAATCTTAGACTCAAAACATTAGTAGTCATTCTTACTATGTGTCTCTAGTAGCTTCAATTTTCCACTTTCTTAGATGATTATTTCCCATTTCTCTTCTTTTGCAACATATCCTACATGCTTCCTCTCCCTTCTCTGACATTGTGATACTTGATTGAGAATGCAGAAGCTGGTCAGGCTGGGATTCACTCATCCTTCCTCCAGGTGATGAACACCTTCTCCTGCCCTTTTTTCAGAAGGGAGGAACTGCCTTGCCCCTGTCCCTACCCCAGGCTGGCTGACCTCCAGGCTCTCCATCCCCCATCCCTTTGTCTTCTGAGAGACTCTACCCCTCTCCCTCTTTTTTAACCGTTTCTACTGGGGAGAGAGTACTTTGTCCTCTAGAATTAATTACCATGTGGTATTATTTAACGTTTCCTTTTGTTACAGTTGTTGGCAAGCAGAAACTTTAATATAACTATTCTGGCTGAAGAATTAATATTTCAGTACTTATCTGATGAACTCTCTGATAGGAAGAGAATTTATGATGAAGAAATGACAGAACTATCAAAGTAAGTTCTCAAGTTGTATGTTACTTGGTCTTGAGTTCAGATTAAAGAAGGAAATCCTTGCGTTCTTAACTTTATTTTAGGTACCCACCCCTGGCAGAGAAATTAGACCTAGAAATAGAAAAAATATCAATTGCAAAAAAATTATGGAAATTTAATTGAAAAGGGTCATAAAACATATTTCAAAATTATGTCTTCATGGGACCCCTGGGTGGCTCAATTGGTTAAGTGTCTGACTTTTGATCTCAGCTCAGGTCTTGATCTTGGGGTCATGAGTTCAAACCCCATGTTGGACCTCATGCTGGGTACGGATCCCACTTAAAAAAAAAGTGTGTCTTCCCAAAATTATGTAGTTGCTTTTTGAATCTAAGTAAGTGGTACTGAATTTTTCAGAATTGAAAAGGCACAGTATATAGAAACAGGAGGGAAAATAGGATTATCCCTTGAAATAGGCTTGAGGGTTGTTTTTGCCTTTTAAAGTGATCAGAGTTGTGTGTTGTAGCAAACTTTAACTATTGAGGTCTTACAATTCTTCCACTCCTTTTTATTTAGAACTCATTACCTTTGACTACTGTGTAGTTTTTGCTTTCGTCAGAACTTTTTTCTCTTCTTATTATTTATTTTTATTAAGGTAAAATTAATGCATAGCATTATATGAATTTCAGGTATGTAACATAATGCTTTGATATTTATATATATTGCAAAATGACCATCACATTAAGTCTTAACATCCATCACTAAACATAGTTAGCAAATTGTTTTTCTTGTGGTGAGAGCTTGTAAGATCTCTTCTCTTATCAACTTTCAAATATGCAGCGCGGTATTATTAACCGTAGTCAACATGCTGTGCATTACATCCCAGGCCTTATTTATTTACAGCTGGAAGCTTGTACCTTCGACCCTCTTCATCTGTTTCACCCACCTCCCCACCCCACCTCAGCCTCTGGCAACCACCAATCTTTTGTCTTTATCTATGAGCTTGCTTTTGTTCTTTTTAAAGATTCTACATGTAAGTGAGGTCATTCAATATTCATTTTTCTGACTTATTTCACTCAGCATAATGTCCTCAAGGTCATTAAAATTTTTTTGTTATCATAGTTGTAAGCTGTAACTTTTTCTAAGTAAATTAATACAATTCAGCATGTTCTGTCTCCTCAAATTAAATACGACAGGCTTGTCAGGAAAATCTGGTAAGCTGAGAACTTTCTCATGAGGTGGTCCTTGGCTTCCTTTCCCCACTAAAGACCGAGACAGGCCTGAGGGTTTTCTGTTGTAAATGAGGAAATTGAGGTTGGCTAGCTTTTGCTATGTTACAGTGACTAATATTCCCTTTCATTTCTAACAGCTCCTATTTCTAAGTTTACGTTTTCCCTTACCCAACAGTCTGACGAGAGATGTCCCCATCTTTGTGTGTGCCATGGCCTTCCCCACCGTCCCGTGTCCACTTCATGTCTTTGAGCCCCGCTATCGGCTTATGATAAGAAGATGCATGGAAACTGGCACCAAACGGTTTGGCATGTGTCTGTCTGCTGAGCACGCAGGGTAAGACTTTTCAGCATCCAGAGGGTCCTAAATAAATACGTAATTTGTTATTTTTTCTCGAAGAACAATTTAAGATGATATTGAAAACTTCCAGTGGCTCCCATTACATAAAAATGTATAAGTCCGAAGTCGCATTATGATGTGAGCCCAGCCTTCTTTCTAGCCTCATCTCCTACTCCTTTCTCTCAGACATCATACTTGCTAGTCCACTATCATATTATTTGCCTTCCTCTAAATACAGTTCATATCCATTCCTCCATGCTTCTCTTTGGCTATAATTCTGTTCTAGTTCATCATCATGCAAACAAATCTAATCTAACTTTTAAGGTCTAAAAAATTTGCTAAAAAATTAGTTGGGGGAAATTGGAGGAGGAGACAAACCATGAGAGACTGTGGACTCTGAGAAACAAACTGACGGTTTTGGAGGGGAGGGGGTTGGGGAGGTTGGGTGAGCCTGGGGCTGGGAATTAAGGAGGGCATGTATTACATGGAGCACAGGGTGTGGTGCATAAACAATGAATGCTGGAACACTGAAAAGAAATAAAACAAGATAAAATGGAAAAAAATTGAAACCTTCATCTACACAGACAGGCAAATTTCAGTCCTACAATAACCACAGCTCTTAAGTTTTTACCTCTCCTTGTTTTACATCAAATTGGCAGGCAGCTCCCTCCATGGCTGCTCTGGGGTCTCTGCATTTTTCCCAAACTGTTAGATTCCTTTACCCCTAGGGCTTTGTTGTTACTGCATGGTTATCATGAGGTCACTACATGCAAGTTCTAGCTAGTAGAAGAGGCACATATGCTCCAGGATTCTGGAGAAAAGGAGTACTCATCCCTGTTGCTCATGCCTATTGGAATGGAGGCTGGGAAATGTAGCCCAGCCATGTGCCCAGGAAGAAAGGGAGAATGGATATGTAGAACCACCCACTAGTTTCTACTGTATATACCTAGGAACAGATCTTTTGAAAGATTGATGTAGGACCTTTATAGAAAAAAAATCTACAGCTTTATTGAAAAATATTTGGGAAGATCTAAATAAATGGAGAGAAGTAACATTTCCATGAACGGATGCATAGACTTGAATATCATGGAAATATTAGATTTACCCAAATTAGTCTGTAAATCTGAGGTAGTTTCAGTCAGCATTCCAAGAGGGTTTTTTCATGGAATTGTTCAAAATAATTGTTTAGAATTATTATGGAAAAGCAAAAGACCAAGACCATGACAATTTTGAAGACATCAGTTGAGTAAGATGGGAGAACACTCCCATAATAAATTTAGAAGTCCTAGTAAGTAGACTACTAGTATAGAATATGAAGATAAGAAATGGATCCACTCATAAATGGACCCTATATTTACATATAATTTTGTGAAAAAAGGCAAGCTGCTCACTTAGAAGGTGCTTAGAAAATTAGTGGGCAATCCAAATGGGAAAAAATAATCTTTTCTCTGCCTTGCACCATATACACAAATTACACGTTATTTACATTTTCAGTGTGAAAAACAACATATAAAAATGTTAAGAGAAAACATTGGAGACTATAATTAGGAAAAGGGAAAGAATTTTTTAATACAAAATGCTGAAAGCACAAACCATGGAAGAGGAGATTAATAAATTTGAATATATTAAAATTTGATTCATCAAAATCAGCAAAAGCAGAGTGAAAAAACAAGTTCCAGCAGTTGTGCTTCCATGAACGATACAGCACACTAAGAAGAGCATTACCCCAGATAAACTACAGGACGTAAGTTTCCTGAACTCGTCAGTGAGTAGATGTTGCTCACCACAAGTGCGGAAAGCCAAGTCCCTCCAGGGAAAGCAGCAGACAAAAGTGTGGTTTACCTGTGGCAGAACCCAGGAGAAGGAAACCTGTAAGTGTGTGGGAAGAATTCAGCTAGTTTTGGGAGGGCCATGTTCTAATGACCTCATGTGGACAAGCTTTAGAGTACAGATGCAAGGGGAATTTGCATTCATTCACAAGTTCTTATCTACAGACAGGACAGGATGCTCATTAGAAAGACAGGTGCTGCAGCTGAGCTAGGCTTTGAAGGAGCTGACATTTGAAGGCATTTGTCTGCTGATGGCTGGGAAGTACTCCCTTGAAGGGGATCTTCAGGACACCTCCATCCATGCCGCAGCCCGTTAGATAAGCAGGAGGAGATAGTTTTAGGAGAGATCCAAGAAGAGGTGTCCAGCCGTATAGCTGGACCCATCACTCATCGTTAGCTTGAAGGTATGTGATGAAGTTGTTCATGTAATTTCGAATCACATAGCGTTGGGTTCAGATCTCAGGTCTAAATCTTACTGTGGCCTTATGTACGTTGTTTGGTTTTAACCTTCCTGCTTTTGTGAGGCTTGAATGAGAACATATTATAAACTGCTCCATATAGTGCTTGACAGGAAATGGGCTTAGTTAGTGTCCTCAGAAAGTTAGAGTGAGAGTTAAAAGAGTGAGAGTGGTTAAGATCACACGGGACAGCTTTGGAGTGAGGATGCCACCCTGAGCGGGCCCTGTGAGTGAGACATGTGGAGGACGGAGGAAAGCTGTGAAGGGCTGCACTGGTCAGGGAGGGCACCAGAGAGCAGCAGAGGGTGTTGGGTCAGTGACAGATCAGCAGGCTCATGCCAGAGTCATGTGTGACTTCCAGTGGGGTCATTTCAGTGGAATGGAGGGAGCAGGAGATGAAGGCAGTGACTGTAGATGACTTTGCATAGTGGTTTGTTGGGGAGGACAGGTCTGGCCAGCATCATTGGAAAATAGTGGGGGAGGGAGCAGAATCTGTGAGGGACACGAGGGCCCCCAGACATAACTTGTGCTCTCTGTACCCCTTGACGGTGCCCTGACCAAGGGCACTTAGGATTTTCTCTCTACCTCTCGGGTCCTTCCAAAGCACTAGCCTGTTTGAAAGACGGTGGCACAAGGGCCCTTTTCCCTCCAGCCCTCCCCATGCAGCCCTTGTACACCCGTATGTTTTGCATTTAACAGAAGGAATCATCGGGGCACCTGAGTGGCTCAGTGGGTTGGGCCGCTGCCTTGGGCTCAGGTCATGATCTCAGGGTCCTGGGATCAAGTCCCGCATCAGGCTCTCTGCTCAGCGGGGAGCCTGCTTCCCCCTCTCTCTTTCTGCCTGCCTCTCCATCTACTTGTGATCTCTCTCTGTCAAATAAATAAATAAATAAATCTTAAAAAAAAATAAAAATAAAAACAGAAGGAATCGTCCGCAGGTGTCTCTTAGAGAAAATAAGCTTGCTGGTCCCATGTGGAGACACCATTTGTTTTGTTTGGATCTTCTGCGTTTATAAAATCATGGTTATTTCTCTCAACTGTCGTGTCAGAATTTCGGAGTACGGCTGCATGCTGGAGATTAAGGATGTCAGAACATTTCCTGATGGGAGTTCGGTTGTGGATGCCATTGGGATTAGTCGGTTCAGAGTTCTAAGCCACCGTCACAGAGATGGCTATAACACAGCCGACATCGAGTATCTCGAAGACGAAAAGGTGAGGTTGCTTTAACAGCTGTGTGTTCAGAGCTTTAACAGCTGTGTGTTTTCCTGTGCATGTGGAAAAACTTGGTCAGATTTTTACAGATAATATTACTTATATCTTCCCTAATTCAGCAGCACTTCAGTTATTTATTACCTCAGTGGATTTTTCACCTGATTTGGAGCTGGTGGACACGTGTCCTCCTCAGAAAAATTACCTTACTGCTGCACATTGTGAAATGCCTTTGTGGTTTGTTGTCTCGGTGTTCTGGCTCAGGAGTTGGCAGATCTTTCCCACAGAGGCCCGTACAGTCAATACCAGAGACTTTCCAGGTCAAGCAGTCTCTGTGGCAACGACTCAGCTCTGCCGTTGCAGCACAGAAGCAGCTGTAGACAGTCTGGAAATGAGTTGGTGTCACTGGTTTCCAAGACAACGCTGTTTACATAGACATACGCAGTGAACAGAATTTGACTTGTGAGTAGTAGTCCATCCCTGTTCTGGATCCTGGTGTTAGTTCAGAATGAGATATGATATAAAAAACAATGCTTAAAAATGCCTTCTAAAGTTCAGTGTAAAAGGTTTAGATCTCTTACCCCTTGAGAAATATTAGTATGTCTAATAGAAATATCAGAATCCATATTTTGACAGATTAACAAAATGTTTTGAAGGGATTCTCAGAAAGATGGGTAAAAAGATGTCCCTAGCCATCTTATCATTTATGGCCAAAACCAAGAAATAGTGCAGAGACTCATCAGGAGAAGAATGGATAAACAAACTGTAGTCCATTTCTACAATGGAGAACTACTTGGCGATAAAAACCAAGGAACTGACCACACACAGAACAATGTGAAAGAATCTCCTAGGTCTCTCAACGAACACGTCTCTCAGTGTGACGTTAAGCCAGGGAAGCCAGACACACAACCACACATGCTGTGTGGGTCCATTTATATACTTCCAAGATGAGGCATCACTTGTCTCTGGTGTTAGAGGGCAGAGACTGGCTGGGGGTGGAGGGCCATGGAGGGTGATGGAAATGTCCCCTGTCCTTTGAGGATTGTGATCCCACTGGTGCATACAGCTGACAGTACTCTGAGCCAACCATTAAGAACAACGCATTTGTCTGTATGTAAATTACCTGCAAGAAAAAGCATTACAACCATCTAGAAAGAGGAAATCCTTGGAATTATTCTATGCCTATTTTGAATTCTTTGGTTCACATTTAGAAACATGGAAGGTGAGAGTCTGTCACTTTGAGGACAGTGATGTACATTCATAAGGCCCATGAGGAGAGCCACACCCCCAGCACCAGCACCGTCCCTTTTCCTGGTGCTGGTTCTGGTCATCCTGAGGACAGGACCTCACAGTGCAGGGGCCAAGCACAATGAGTCAACCCTAACATCACAGGACCAGGGAGTGGGGTTTAAAGGATGTGACTGAGTGTGATTGTTTTTGGGGTCCCTCTGCTGCCCCAGTAACAAATCTGAGAGGGTTTGCTGACTGTTGTTGTGAATGGCAATTTTTGGTGGTATATGTTTTTAAAATGGTTGCTTACATAGCGACAACATGAAATAATTTTGGTGGTTTAAAAAAAAAAATCCCCTTCTACATATGAATATTTAATTTGTGTAAGTCAAAATGAGAACGATTGTATGCATTATAATCTAATTCCTCAGTTTATCCTAGTTTTCAGAGGTAGTGGTATTTTATAACTAGAGAGGACCTGAATGGTGAATTCCCATTTTGTAGATGAAAAAAACCCTACCCTCAGGAGGCTCTGTGACTGGCTTAAGAGAATGAGCAATGAAGCCAGAACACACCTGGGTTCCCTGGTCCCCAGCCCAGTGCTTTTCCCACTTAGGTGTTTCTGAGTAGGACTGGGGCATACTTAAAATGAATGACTTGGCAATGAGGTAGGCACCCAGAAGCAAAGTGTGGTAAATCTAGAGCATCAGGGCCTACTGCTGCGTAAGGCTAATTTGAAGGGAATGTGTGATTGCTGTAACATGTCTTTTGGAATGTAGTTTGGTGATATGGAATACAATATTTTAAATGTCTCATTCTTTGACTTAGCAATTCTATTTCTAGGAGACTGTCCTGAGGGAATGGTGGCCCCTTTTCTCACCACCACCAACAAAAATAAAACAACCCCCCTTCCCACCTTTGCTTAAATATTTATATTGCTGTGTTATTTTTAAATATATCTTATCTGGATGGTGGAGTAAATTTTCCAATGTAGGATTGCATGTAGCCATTGAAAATTGCTCATCGTAACATGGGATATGTTTATATTGTTAAGGGAAAAATCAGGATGTTATAGATAGACAAGGCAGATAGATCTTCATTGTATAAGAAAAGTACAGATTTGTATGTTGAGCCTATAATAGGTTTATAAACACTAATCAGTTATCTAAGAAATAAATACCACAAATCCACTTAGCAAATTGCTGCAGATGTTACTGTGTAATAATGAACTGTTGAAATTTTGTGGCCCTTTTCCCTTGATCAGGTGGAAGGTCCAGCCTACGAAGAACTTACCAGCCTTCATGATTCAGTTTATCAACAGTCGGTTTCCTGGTTTACTTCACTTCAGGATCACATGAAAGAACAAATTTTAAGCCATTTTGGGTTAATGCCAGACAGGGAAGCTGAGCCTCAGGTATGGTCTCCTTATTTCTTTTATAATGCTATTATTTGCTGCTATAATTGTGCTAAGACATATTATTCTGAAGGAAAGTTAGGCAGTACTATGCAATATACTCCATCATGATCACTTACAAACCAATTCATTTATCAATAGAACGAAGAAGCACCTAGTATAGTAGCATGTGCCTTTGAAGCAAAACAGTCAATGCTTTCTGAGTAATACTGCATAAAGGTAATTTGTTTTCTGTCAAAAAAGAATTTATTCTGATTGGCTGTCAGCTTTAGTACTTCTATTTCTCTCCAACTATTTAATCCAGCTGTTTTATTTCTTCTCCCCCATTTAAATCAGCTGCTTAAATCATTTAAGTCAGCTGTTTAGATCATTATGATTTAGAGAGTAGTAAGCCTTGTATACTGGCTGAACCCTCTGTGTTTTGCCCATAAGATTGCCTTGTGTCTGGTAAACAGGTGTTGAACAAATGAAGAGAAAATCTAACTCTTGTTAAATTAGAAGTGTTCCTGCCTTCTATCCAGCCTGGCTTTCTCTGGTGCTCCACAAGAGTGGAGCTTTCTGGGAACCTGGCTCTTGAAGCAATGCCTGGCTTTAGGCTGTGAAGCAGTTCTAAGTGCAAATGAATCCTCTCCCCCTCCTCTGAGTGACAGAGCCAGGCAAGGATGGCTTGGGCTTGTGGCTGAGAGTATGGAGTTCTTCCACTGTGTGTGCTCACCTATCTTGCAGAGAGAACAGGGCTGGAGGACCAGCTCTCAGCAGGTTTGGGGGAAGACGAACTGTCCTTTGTATCTTTCCCATCCATTTTTTTTTTAAAGATTTTATTTATTTACCTGACAGATAGAGATCACAAGTAGGCAGAGAGGCAGACAGAGAGAGAGAGGAGGAAGCAGGCTCCCTGCTGAGCAGAGAGCCAGATGTGGGGCTCGATCCCAGGACCCTGGGACCACGACCTCAGCCGAAGGCAGAGGCTTTAACCCACTGAGCCACCCAGGAGCCCCTCCCATCCATTTTTATGTTCTTTTTCTATCTCTTGAGGATTTCTCTCCCCCCGCCCAACCTATGTCTTTTCCAAAACTCAGGAGCATCCTCCTGTAAGCCAAAAATTGTCTCAAATAGAATAATCCTGATCTTTCAGTAGAATCTTCCTCCCCCTAAGATAAGTTGACACTGGCGTCCACCCTCTCAGTTCCCAGTAGGGATTCTGTATATGTCTGTATACATTTGGGGTAGGATTGGGGGAGAAGCCAGGACAGGAAGCAGGGAGGCCTGGACATCTTGGCTCTTAATGCGAGAATTACTGAGAAAAACTATTTGACCAGCTTTACTTAGAGCTCAATCAAGAAATGTGTGCTTGGGTATGTGAAGTAAATGCTATCAGTTAGCATAATAATTCTTATACAGTTAATTCATGGTAATTCCCATATATATAATTAACAATAACTCATATGTAGATTTTCATCTATGTCTGCACATTCATCACATAGCTACGAAAAGCTTTATTATAAATTTTATTATAATAATCAAACTTGTACACATATTTTTTAGCCTTCCTAATATAGAATTTTCTATGATGTATTTAAAACTTAAAAAACAATAACACAGAATACTGGAAATAGAGTAAAAATTATGGTCCCCTTGTCCGAGTGGTATATACTCCCAACTAGAGCTTTGGGAGAACAGAAGCAATTAATTCGTGGAATTTCCCCATGGAAGTTGCTTCTCTTTGCAAGCTCTTTGTTTTGAGAGTTCTTCCACATTTAAATGTGTAACAGGAAAGTACTTTCTATGTCAAGGGCTCAATGGATGGGAAATCGACCTAAAGTAGAAGGTGGCATTTAATTCTGGCTCCTGCCTTGTTGGTGGAACAAAAGGACAGTATTGGGAAGGGAGGAGACTTGTATTTTAGGTGATAATTTCGTTTTGCTTTCGTTTCTTCTGCAGAGTAACCCTAGCGGTCCCGCGTGGTCCTGGTGGATCCTGGCAGTGTTGCCGCTGGAACGCAAGGCTCAGCTGGCTATTCTTGGCATGATCTCCCTGAAAGAGCGTCTGCTTGCCATTCGGCGCATATTAGTCATCATCACGCGTAAGATGAACAGTCGGCAGGAGCTGGCTAATAGCAGGGAGAGAAATAATTGATTATCTCTCTCTGTCAAGGTTTCTGGAAACACTTGTACTTTTGTGAGGAGCCGCTAGGCATGGAGAGTAGCATCGCATTCATCATGCTCTGTAAAATGCTTGTTGATAGGGTTACAAAATGGAACACTTAACAAACATTGACTCCTTCTCAAATCTTAAAAGTCTGTGCCTCGTGGAACCTGACTCTGTGCAAGGTTAGCCTGAAGTTTGAATGGAGCCCATGGTTGGAAAAGAACCTAAGAGAATCTCTCTGAAGCATTCGCTCAGGGTATAGTTCGCCGACAGCAGGGAATACCACAGATGGTTCGCGAGTGGTTTAGGTTTTGCAAGAAAAAAGGACCCCCTCCCTGGTACAGTGTCTTGCTGCACCAAATGGAAACAGCATGCTTTGGTGGCTAGACAGGAAGGGGGAAACCACATTTTTATCTGGAAGCGTATTTCTCAGAGCACAGGCTAACTGAAAATCCACTTGGGCTTTGTGTGTCGTTGTGAAGTTGTCTGTGAAGTTGAGGAATCAAACAGTGGTCCTGTGCAGGAGCCCAAATTAGTCGTCACCCAAGAAGTAGTGGCTGCCAGATAGAACTGCGTTTTGTGTCCTGCTGTAGTTCAGATGCTGTGCGTTGCGTGTTGTAATCAAATGAACGTCAGAATACACAAAGGTGTACCTTGGATAGAGAAAAATCTGAGAACCAGTGTAGTTGACCTGAAGATATATATCCCTACACACTCAAGAAAGAGTGAGCAAAAATTAGCTAAAACTGTACGTGCATTGGGGTGTCAAACATATAACCAAACTAGCGCAAAATATTCCTTGAAAGCATAACCCTGTCTCATTAATTTGGTGGGTACTAAGCATTTAGGAAATTGTCCTCTTGCTACTAGGCTTTGCATTAGAAATTAGGTCCATCAGTCATTTGAGTTCACCATCCATCCACTCATATATGAAGATGTGAAAACCTGCCATGGAATGGGCATCTATTCCAGGAAAACACACCTGGACAATATGCAAGAAGTGGGAGGTAGGAATAGGATGTAAAGATTCAGCAAATTTTTCCTCCATCCTCAACCTAAAACTTGTCTTTGTGTCTTTTAAAAAGAAGTTTTAGAAGTGATCAGACCTGGTGTTATCTATTAAAGAACAATATATGACAACTTTAACCTCTGATGCAAGTTGGTAGTATTAATTGGGATAAACATTTGAACCTGAAATACTGAATAGTTCTCACTGGCCTAACCAGCTTGTGCATTGAGTTGGCTTCTTGGTGTATGATATGGATATTCTTAACGGAAAGATGATGAGAACTAGACCAGGGAATAAATCACAGCTGTAAGTTTTGCTTTATTCATTCAAGGTGTATGATATTTGAGTTTTAACAAATATATTTCACAGTGTGAAAAGTTGGTTGTTTATCAGTCCATCAAGCATTTTATTAGAAAGACCTTATGATTGTGTTTCACTGTAATCGTAGGAGTTTTCAGTAGCTAAAGGTCAGTTTCATTATGGGAGTGAGAAAATATTACTCTTATGTAACTTAACCATAAAGAGAAAATGTGAAAGTACTTCCAGTCAGATGTTTCTAGTGCCTCACTTGCTGTGAATCTCAAATCTCATCTTGAATATGTTTTAAAGGCAATTTGGTCAAGTGATTTCTAGAATATTTTATTGATTTATGTGTTCATGATAGTATCCAGCCTTCTTAGGCATTGTATCTTAGCCTGATCATCTAAAAGAAAGCAAAACTGTGTCTAGTATTCCAGAGGACCTTTCTTGGGAATGGTTCATGAAATGAATGGTTCATGATCATTCTCTTTCTTTTTCTTCTGAAGAATCTTTCCTACCTTAAAACGTATCATTGCTGTTTCCAACTGAGAGTGTGTAAAATAACCACCGTGTGATCAGTTCCCCCAGGAGCCTTCCTGAATTTAAGTCTCTGCGCTCAGAGTACCAGTGCTTGTCCTGTATGCATCAGATGCTGTTGCTTTCTCAGCCTTACTCTGGAGATGTCATCACTGGCCCAGGTCTCTGACCAGAACCACTAACTTATATCTTCCTGATTCTGTCTGCCTCTTTCTGAGTTGTCAGCTTGTTCTGAGTGTTCCTGTGTAAAAGCCTGTTTGGCAGTAATGATGTAGATAGAACAAAAGTTTCTATTGTCTTTGTCTTTTGACACCCAAGGGAATGGACTGTGACTGCTTCATGCTCTGTCTAGCATCTCACCTCTGCTTAGAGCAGAGCAGCTGATGGGCACTTCCTGAGCACTTAAATGGTTTTCTTTTTCTTTCTTTTTTTTTTTTTTTGAAGATTTTATTTATTTATTAGAGAGCACACGCTCAAAAGGGCCCAAGTTGGGGGACGGGGTAGGTTCAGGGAGGGAGAGGGAGAAGCAGACTCCCCGCTGAGCAGGGAGCTTGACATGGGACTCAATCCAGGACCCCAGATCATCACCTGAACCGAAGGCAGACACTTAACGACTGAGGCACCCGGGTACCCCTTAGATGACATTCTTTATCAGGAAGGTGGACCAGGGAAATAATATCTCAAGTTATATTATGAGGGAAACTTCCTTTTACAAACTTAAGGAAACCTAAACTCCAGTTTGCTACAGATTTGCTACAAATTTAGCTAAAGCAGTAGAACAGATCCCCCTACCGCCCCCACAGCTCTTTTCTATCGTGAAGATGTCATTCCAACATTTCTCAGAAAATAAGGTCTCATTCAGTGTCAGAACATTCAAGTTTAATTTTACTGAAAATGTTCCAACCCTAATGGTCTAGTTACATCAGAATAAAAACAAAATCTACTTAGAGAGTGATAATAACAGTGTGGGGGAGTAATTTTTCGTCTTTAAGTATATTACTTGAAGTACATTCTGTACACTCTGTTAGGTGTTTTTCCATTTCACTCTCCTCAGTGGCTTGACTCATAATTCCATCCCTGCCTCTGTCTCTGGAATACAACTGATATCCTGACCGGCAGTATTTTGAAAGCTCATGAGATTTTTAGGGTATCACATTCCCTATGTGTCTTCATCTTCAAAATTGAAAGTTAGAAAACTTTTTAAAAAAATTTTTAAGATTTATCCATGCAACCATGTAAGTGTTCATAACCAATTCATGCACCAACTTTTGGAGCGCTGTCCTGTTTTTATAACCACAAAGGTGTCCTTTCTTCTCTTAAACATCACCCCTCTTACCTCCCAAACCAAAAAGCACCAAAACTGTTTCATAAGTTGTATCTCAATTATTAACATATATCAAGTCTTACTATAGGACTTTTGAATCATCAAGGGAGCAAAATTATAGATGGTAGCATTACCATGAACTATGATAGTATCACTTTGTCCTAAAATCATTTGAAAATTAGTAGTTGTTATAATCAAAATAGTCTGTTGCCTGGACTAACTGTATTACATAGAAGTCATTATGATTTTTAAGTTGCTTTTAGCAAGTACTCATCTGTTTCTTCTTCCTTTCTCCTTTAATGTTAAATTACTTTGATAGATACCACTCTAAAATTTAGATGTTATCTATAAAATAATGTGATAGATATGAAGAAGAAAGAGCATTAGGAGGGAAAATAAATGTGGGTGAGTTTTGTTTGCTTAAGGCATGAGGTTTTATTTTTCCTAAATACCCCCCACAGAATAGGGTAGGGAGGTCCCCATCTCCAGTTCTCAGCATGAATAGCAGGCACAGCTTGCAGAAAGCTCTTTTTCTGTAGCTCTGCCCCAATGAGAAGACCCTGTACTGATTCTGTGTTTCATCAAAACTAAAAAACCAGGGAAGCTTAATCTGAATGAGTAGACAGCTGTGCCAGCCATATGGAAAAATTGAACCCTGACTGTTGCCCAGTATCACCTCGTCCCTACTGGGGCTAATGCTTTGTTCTGAGCCATTGTCTTCTGACTCATAGGAGGTGTTTCCACCTTTGCAACTCCTCGCCTTAACTTCACCTTAACTTTGACTGCTCAACTGCTAAAAAAAAAATTACCAAGTCTGCTGAATCCCATCAAGTAGCTTTTAGTAGTGGATCTGCTTTTAGGTGAATATTAGCATATTGAGTATTAGAATATTGCCGTAGCATAAGCTATTGAAGAAATTCATGAGCCACCACTGTAGACAGACCAGGTGAGGACATAGCTCTGATTTGTGCCCAAGACTTAATTTCTAAAGTTGGCTGGGTGACAATGCAGAGAAGCCCATGCCATTGGAAGAAAAATTTATTGTTACTCGTATTTCTACTAGAAATGAGAGGCATGCACTCAGGGCCACATGGGGAAGCACCAGAGCCAGAAAGCAGAAGCAGGAGTGAGGGTGAGAGACTTTATTGTGTTTCAGTGGGAAATACCAGGCAGGGCAGGGCAAACAGCTTGGGATTGTCTAGTTTGGATGGTGGTGGTGGGTTCTAGGCTAGAAGGTCAGGATCTGTTTCTTTGGTATTGAGCTCTGGGTGATTAAGGCCAACGACTCTTTTCTCCTGGACTGTAAGAGCCAAACAAAGGAGGGGCTCAGAGTGTGGGCTCTGGATTGATTGGTTCTCATATGAAAGGTATGCTTCCTTCTGGACCCTTTGCTGCCTCTGACTGGTCAGCCTGTACGGGGCAGTCCTACCAACTGGTGAGGCCCTCAAAGATGTCAAAATATCATAAGTCTTTTTTTAAACACATGATTAATATGATTGTCCTCTGATGTCTTAGCAACATATTAAGGAAACTTTGGAGTGATGATAATGGAGACATTAAAGAGTTAGTCATACATTACCTTGAACAGCACAGAAAGTGTGTGTTTGTTTTTTAATGTGGCGTTAGTCACCATATAGTACTTCATTCGTTTTTGATGTAGTGTTCCATGATTCACTATTTGTGTTATAACACCCAGTGCTCATTGCAACAGGTGCCCTCCTTAATACCCATCACTAGGCTAACCCATCCCCTTACCCTTCTCCCCTCTGAAACCCTCAGATTGTTTCCTGGAGTCCATAGTCTCTCATAGTTTGTCTTCTGCTCTGATTTTCCCCACTTCAGTTTTCCCTTCCTTCCCCTAATGTCCTCCAAAGTGTTTTATTATGAGAGTTCAAAGGAGCAGCACAGGGGGGGTGTAAGGAGTCCTTAAGGCCGGTCCATAACTAAGGTTTCCATTTATATGCATTAGCCAAGATCATAGATCTGGAGTCTTGTGTGGCAGGGGTGGGGGCGGTGGCAGTCTTCAATGCTGTCTTAGCAGAGTTGTAAAGTATATGAAAAGTATGAGTGTGATAATAATATCTTGATCTATTTCTTGAGTCAAGACAGCAGGTCCAACAGTTATGCTCTTGGAGTATATGATAATTTAGTAAATACATTAACAATTAAGTGGTAAGTGCGTGTAACCAAGGGAAAGGAGTGTTATGATTTGAGACACAGGATAGGAGGTTCTGGTGGAAAGCTGAAGAGGGCAGCAGGAGAAGGCAATGGAGAGTGAGTGAGTGGTCCTGTCCCAGAGACTTGAGGGGTTGACTGAGAGAAGGCAAAGTGCTTCCTGGAGGAAATAATAATCAACATTCAGTTTTTGAATAGTAGAGATAGTAATCTCCAGTTTTCACTTTAAGCATGGGAGTGTAGGGGTATGTGTTTTGGCAGAGAGCAAGGAATATACCAGGGTAATGTGCTAAACAGGCAGCAAGCTCAGAAATGAAATAGAATCCCTAATATTGGAGGAAGAGAAGCAAAAATGCCCTGTGTCTTATTTGTGGCTTAGCAAAGGCAGGCTATGGGCATAAGTTCTAGTGTCCAAAGCAGAGTTGTCTCCAGTTGGCAAGCTCATGATCTGGGAAATGTCATCTGAACAGTGAGCTTCTGGGCCAGAGTGATGTTGTCTGGGGTGTGGGACTTGGGGTATTCATTTTAAGTGGGTACCCACTCAGGTTGATGTGGGTCTCAATGTTTGCTATGTTTGCTTGAATCAGTGGTTTACTTGAGGTGTTTACAAACCAATTAAAGCAACCAGACCAGCAGTAGTAAGACCAACAGTCAGTAGAACAGTGAATAGCTACACCTGGCAGAGTTTTTGTTTTTGATTTTTGGTTCAGGTTCGCTTGGGTCCCTTATCAGTTGAGCAGCTGCCTGGCCTATGGGAATATCTGTGATTAATGGGTCCCAAGAAAGTATGTGCCCTCAATCTGGCGTTTAGCCCCTGTGGGATGGGGGCAAGATAGAAAAATTTATAGAGAATGAGAGACCTTGTTAAACAGACTAACATGTAAGGAGTTTCTAATATACACAAAGGCAACACATATCCCCCTTTAATTTTTTTAATTTAAATTTGAGGTAGTTAACATACAGTACAATATTGGTTTTTGGAGTAGAATCCAGTGATTCGCCACTTACGTACAATACCCAGTGCTCATCACAACAATTGCCCTCCTCAGTACCCATCACGCATTTAACCCATCCCCCATCCACCTCCCTCTATCACCCCTCAGTTTGTTCTTTATCATTAAGAGTTTTTTTTTTAAAAGGTTATTTATTTATTTGACAGACAGAGATCACAAGTAGGCAGAGAGGCAGGCAGAGAGAGAGGGGGAAGCAGGCTTCCTGATGAGCAGAGAGCCAGATGCAGGGCTCGATCCCAGGACCCTGGGATCATGACCTGAGCTGAAGACAGAGGCTTTCACCCAGTGAGCCACCCAGGCACCCCTGTCATTAAGAGTTTCTTATGGCTTGTTTCCCCTCTCTTTTCTTTTACTCCTTCCCATATAGTCATCTGTTTTCATTCTTACATTCCATATATGAGTGAAATCATA